ACTAACACAGCCCAGGGGATTCCCATAAACAGATCTTAATTGCTTAGCACTCCTCCCCCACTACATCCTGACTATTGCCCAAGCCAGTTTATATACTGAGTACTGACTGCCCTGCTACTGCTCTAGCTCTAGGTCAGCAGAGCCCAGTAGTAGAAATGCAACATATGTGAGTAGAAAAATACACACCACCCCTGCAAATGACATTAGCTTAGCTCAGTACTTCTCAACCTTTTTTAGACTTAAGGCAGTCATTGTAAAATGCCAGCTCTTTGTTTTCATTAATTCTTTGACTACAGAAAAATGCTAGAGCAATTATATTGTTGCAAAGAACTTAGAAAGACCAAACAGGGAAGGATGTTGTTAACACTGTGGATTCTTGTTTGAAATCATTTATCTTGTGACTCATGTTTGCACAACTAACAGTGTTAACATTGTGTGACCCCCACGTGGCACCCTTAGGAGGATCTTACAGCACTGCAGGGAACTGTAACATCCTGGCTGATAATCAGTCTTAGGCAGTAAAAGCCCTCTCCTGTCACTATAACTGCATCCAGGCAGAGGACTTTGCCATCAGAGCTGCTGGTATGCTGGCTATAGGATGAGAATTACTTATTTCACGCCCCAGCTGATATTGGGATGCTAGGAAAAAATTGTAGTGTAGGGAACAGGTTTCTGCAGCCTCTGAGATATACCCCATTTTTAGCCTGGCCAATTTTTTCTGACCTTTTCTGTGCTAAGCAGTTTCAGGGAGAAATGCATGTGTGGGACTTAAAGGCAAAGGCTGGCATCACACCACTTCCTTATAACCAGGGAGTCTAAAGCTACATGTAGGTGTGGGAGTTGGGGGCTGGAGGAATGGATCCCATGGGTTTCCGCCAGGAGTGGAGCATGAGCACTGCATGGAGCCCCTTAGTGGAGAATGAAGGTAGCTTCATAATATCTGTGGACCATTCCCACCCCCCACCTTCCCCTCTTTCTCCTAGCCTCATGAGTATTGTCTTAACAGAATACAGTGGGTATCAGTAAAAACCTGCCATCCCTTACTAGAGCCTTTCACAGGCAGTAGTTGTTTTCTTACAACAGTTTATCAAGGGAAAGATCTAGTCCCTATTGCTAAGCTGGTGGATGGTGGTGAGTTGGCTCAGTATTTACTTCCATGTAGCCTTCAGAGTTTGGCCACATACAGGACATCAGCTAAGTCCAGCCTTGGTGCATCAGAGGACAGATCACTCCAGTCAGGGTTATATGCAACAGGTGCTTTCTTGGGCCCAGCTGGTATTATGGCTATTAGTGCTATCTGGCCATTCACAAAAAAGCTAAGAGTCCAGAAGTACTCCATCTTGTTTACCACTTTAAGAAGTGTAAGGCAGACACCTTTTATTAAGTTCATGCTTACTTCCAGCCATTCACATTGTTTACTTCAACTTATTGCTGTCAGCCCCAGATATTGGGTGGATTAAGCTTAAACCAGTCACTTTTCCTAGAGAAACTTCCAGTTCTTTCACACATTAGAACAGGGTCTGGTTGGACTGTGGAATTATTGTTTCCATGGGAAATTCCACAGTTCATTTTAAGAAAACCCCAAAATCAGATATAAAAGAATTGTGAAAACTCTTTTGGGACGGTACTCCAAAACTGAAGTTTTGAACAAGTAAGAATGACATTTCATTGTAACCATGCTGACACATCTACATGGCTCCCAGAGTTGCTTGGAGTCCTGAGAACTAGGTAAGCAGAAACTGAAATGCAGGTGGTCGAGGTGCTATGAGCCCTGGGAACCCCAGCTCCAGAGCAGTCCACCTGGCAGGAAGCCCTAAAGCTGGGATTTGGAGAAGCTCTACCTGATGGGCTGCCCTGAAGCCAGTAGGTAGAGGTCCTGGGCTCCTGGGCTACAGAGCAGCTCTTAGCCTGAGGACTTTGGGAGCTAGTCCACCACCAGCTCCTCACCAGTCCGCTGGTCAGGTTGTCAAGGACCCTGGTGGGTCAACGCTAGTCTGAAACCAGGCAGGTTTCCAGCAGAAGCCCACCTCTTTTCTGCCTGAATCTTGTAGAATCATGTTCTCAGAAAGCATTTCTATTTCAATGACCCAGCATTTTCTGACAGAAAAATATTCCTTCAGATAATTTAGCTGAGGTCATTGTGGGACCCCTGGCACAGCTTTACAAGCACTCATGGTGCTCTGGTGTGGTGCCAAAGGACTGGAAGAGGGCCAATGTGGTTCCCATCTTCAAAAAGGGGAGGAAGGAGGACCTGGGAAACTATAGGCCAGTTAGTCTTACCTCGATCCTGGGCAAGCTTTTTGAGAAAATTATTCCGGCGCATTTTCACAAGGGGCCGGCAGGGGAGATTATGCTTAGGGGCAACTAACACGGGTTTATTAGAGGCAGGTCCTGTCAGACCAACCTGGTGGCCTTCTATGACCAGGTCACCAAATCCTTAGACGTGGGGTAGCAGTGGACATAGTCTTTCTCGACTTTCGGAAAGCCTTCAATACTGTTTCTCACCCTGTTCTCATTAAGAAACTGGGGGGCTGTGGTGTTGACACCTACACAGTCAAATGGGCCACTAGTTGGCTGGAGGGCCGCACCCAGACAGTGGTGGTGGATGGGTCATTTTTGACCTGGAGGGATGTGGGCAGTGGGGTCCCCCAGGACTCGGTCCTCGGGCCCACACTGTTCAACATCTTCATCAGTGACTTGGATGAGGGGGTAAAAAGCACCCTGTTCAAATTTGCTGATGACACTAAGATGTGGGGGGA